TTTTATGGTTGGGTCACAACATGAGGAACTGTATTTAAAGGGCCAGAAGGTTGAGAACCACTGCTTTAGGTAATGAAATTATTTCTTTTTTGTTCATTTGTTCTTGCTCTACAAAATCTTGCATGTCAAAACTACTTGTAACAATAAATTGTTAAATCCTGAATCCTGATATAATTATGAGGCTCAATAGGGAGTCCAGGAAAGATTACTTTGTAATTTAATTTTTATTTTATTTTTCTTCTTTGAGATATGCAAGAATAGTAAATGGACTCTTAATGTGCATGGAAACAATTAAATTATATTGGGCTATTGTGATGAAATGATGTATATTTAACCTTTTGCTTATTGTACCTTTTTGATGCAGAGAATGTGGAAATATCATTATACCCTGTTGTTTAATTGCCTTTAAAAATGTCTTGTGCAGAACAAATAGGTTAATTTTATGGGTTTTGTTGATGCTAAACTCTGGAGCAGAACCAAAAGACATTCTGTCTGCCAAAACAAATGAAGAAAATTATTTTACTATCTTCCCTTCCTAACATTTGTACATGATGGCTTTAAAATAACTCTCTATTTCCAGTGAGGTCTTTCTCGGTCATTTTTCTCACCTGAATGAACATCTGAATGTAATCCCTAGTCTGTGAGATTTTGTTTTAAATAAACCAAACCAATACAACAACAACAAAATACAACTTGAGTAAATCTATAATTACATTATTCTTTTGGAGAGTTCCAATGTGTTGGACTTTACAGTGTTGAGTGTTCATAATATAATCTCTACCTCTCCCTAGCTTTCATCTACCCAGAGTTATCTGGTTAAGATCCTTTTCTCTGCCCTCAGAAATCCTACCTCTCTTTCAAAGCCTGGATTATGGGTACAATCTTACAAATTTCCTTCCTCATTAAACTGCAAATCAATTTTCTCATTTATTTGACACTAAATACAATGTTTTCATGTCGCTGAATCTTATTTTTCAAACTTGACTATAATCTCCTTTAGTAAATTTCAAAGAATGTGATAAAGGTATGTGATTAATACAAGTTAATCAATAGACATTGTATAAGCAATGGCTGCATTTAAGACATTGTGCCATATGGGCATCGGCAGGGATACAGAAAGAAGTCACTGTCTTGCCCTTTGTAGCTTATCTATAATAACAAAAGCGCAATATGCTAATTAGACCTGATGTCCTTCAGGACAAAACCTGGGGGACGAGGGGGGTGGGGTGGGACAAGGCCCTTGCACGAATTTCATGTGTTTCCCAACAAAACCTGAAATAATGATTTTGTACACTTGTCATTCTTGGGTTCGCTGCTAGAAACAACATATTCTGACAATCCTAGAAAAGCCATTTAATTCTTCACCATCATGTTATGTAGTATCTTTCTCTTCTCAGGCAAGAACTAAGTGTCTGCGATTTTATCTCTCTTTCAAGACGTGTTAGCCTGTCATCATTTCACAGATACTGGCAGAAGACAGGAGACTCCTGGGTCAGAGACAAAGGACTTTATTACCCCCAGCACAGCATGCAGCATGAGCTTTTCGTTTCTCCCTCAAGTTCCATGGGCGTGAAGCAGAGCAGCCTAGGTAGATGCTGCACAGACAGTGACTATGTGTTACACCCAATTAACCAGCCTCAAGCTTAGAAACTCTCAGTCTTCTAAAGGGGCTGCTAGCAAACTTGTCCCAACTTCTGCCCAGAGGGATTCATTATTGTTATTATCCTGGTCCGGAAACAACTCTTTCATTTGCCCTGAAAGGAGGTTCTATCTTTATCTTCCAAGGCTGTTTGAAAAGATAGTGTGGAACAGAAGCTGTCAGTAGATGTGCAGAAATGCTATAGAGAATTGTCCTTACCCCGTGTGCTGAAATAGTCCTGGAAATAATCATGATGAAGCAGTGATGTAGGAGAACATGGGATGGCATGTTGAGGTTTTATTATTGGCCTGGATATTATTTCGTCATTGAAAACCTGAACTTGGCATAGGTTTTCAATGACGAAATAATACCCAGGTTATTGGTTAACCTATATAATACGCTGAAATTGTGGAAATACAGTTTTAAAAATTATTTTTATGATGATGAAAAGGAATAAGAAGGGATGATAATATTCTAAGAAGAAAAAGCTCTGCATTTCATAAGTTAAGTATGTTAAGAATATAAAGCATTATTCTGAATTACAGATGAGGTATTCTCTAATTTATTCATAGCACTAAATGAATTAGTCATGAAAATCTTTACAATGATAGATGATCCTAAAATGAATTTGTATTTTCTTTACACACACACACGTTTTCTAGCATATCCTTTTGAATAATGTATGCATCCACAGTAAAATCATAATTCGAAACCAAACTGAATCTCAAGTTAGAAAGGATTTTAAAATTATCTGAGAAAATCTATCCCTTGGTGCAAAATTCCCCCTTTTCCACCCGCTCCCCCCCCAAAAAATAATGGCTCAGTAAAGTTTGTAAACACCTTCAGCTTCACTTCCAGGATACCTGCTCTATAATGGTGTTAGTGCCTCTCCTCATTGTTGTATTTATGTGATATTTTTCCCAAATCATCCATGATCCACTGATGGATTAACTGCTACAATCAAGAACTTTGATTCTAGGATTTTATGCATGGGACTTTCCTCTTTAGTTGATTTTATTTTATATCCCACTTTTGGTCTTTGTCTTTTTTCTGTCACAACATCCTATCTAATAATAGACAAACATGGTAATTGACTGTACCTTTGCTATGCCTCCCATTGGCTAATCAGCATGATATGCAAATTAAACACCAACAAAGATGGCTAATTTGCATACTGCAGGCAGGGCGGGCCAGCGTGAGCTGCCATCCGGGCCCCTGTGTGCCACCTAAGCCCCACCCCCAGCCGGGACCCCTGTGTGCAGCCCTGCGCACCAGGGCTTGGCGGCGAGATTGGCCCAAGGAAGTCCTATTCTTGCAGGAATATTCCTGAAACAGGCTTCTAGTAAATATAAAAGCTCATGTGTTTTCTTTTTTTAAAAAACCTTTAATGTTGAAAGTATTACATATGTCCTCCTTCCCCCTCCCCCACTGACCCCTTCTAGCCCACCCCTGTTTTCATTTAAAAGTTCCTATGCTCACCCTAGCTGGTTTGACTCAGTGGATAGAGTGTGGGCCTGTGGACTAAAGGGCTTCCGGTTCGATTCTGGTCAAGGGCACATACTAGTACTTGGGTTTCAGGCTTGATCCCCAGTAGGGGGTGTGTAGGAGGCAGCTGATCAATGATTCTCTCTCATCATTGATGTTTCTATCACTCTCTTCCTTCCTCTCTGAAATCAATAAACATATATTTTTAAAATCTGCAGTAGGAAAGCAAAATAACACCTTCTGCTGAATATTGTTAGTAAGAAATTGGAGGGGATACTACATCAACAAGAACATAAAAGTAACATTATATGCCTTTAATTCAAATCATAGAATGTGTATGCCAATGATAATAAATGTAATCATATAAGGATTATCATAATAAAATGCTGTTGTCCCCATTTTTACAAATTCCCAATATTTTTCATGTATCAGGGACTGGATTTGTCTACATGATGTAAGAGGTAAATGACAAACCTCTTCCACTTCTAGCACATAAGTGCCTAACCTGGTAGGCACTTATGGGGCACAGCATCAAAAAAGCTTAAATCTTGATCATCTATGGGATTTAAACCTATATATCAGATTTCAAACACTAAAATGGCTACAGGAGCCAGTCAAGTAAAAGAAAAGTCTGAAGCAAATCGGAGTGTCTGTGCCATTGAAAACTTCAGACATTCAACCCCAGAGGAATGTTGCCATACCGGAATGCAAGCCTGTTGCCTGTCTGTCTTCACATTTTTCTAGAGAAACCAGAAAGATGGGTTTTTGTGCAAAAGCCCTTATTTTTGAATGTTGGGTACTAATTTAAAAATAATTAAGTAGTGCGCTCACTAAGTAAAAAGCACATTCAGTCAGCAACATCAAATATGTAGGTTGATAAGCATAACAGCCTTCCAGGCCAGCAGAATGCAGCATGGGTTGGAGGTGGGCAGGGCAGAAGGAGATATCAGTGAGAGATAATAGAAATATTTTGGGAACAAACAAATGACCATGGAAAAACAGTCTGGAATACTGGCATAGGCCAGACAATAGAGTCTACTGACAGGAAACCTTGACACTGGGTACCAGGAAACTATACATGAACTCTTCTCAACCTAGGCCCTGAGGACGTTTAACCTGAGGAAGAAAAGGTTATTTTTCAAACTAATTTCTTGAGAGTCCCAGACTACTCTGCTGGGCAATTTCTATTCCTTCACCAAAATGTTGACTTGAGAATGGATTGCTACCCATGACCCCAGCAAAGTGCAAGGTACAATTGTAGATAAAAAGAGAAATGGGTGATGTGTTCTCTCTTCAAGGAAGAGAAGAATCAATTTGAAATACAGTGAAAAAATACCTGAATTCAGTGGGAAACGGGCAGAGTTAATGTTTTAAAAAGTAAAGACCTGCAAGTAGTGTATTAGACAATACGTTATAAATAAGTAGGGTCGTTAATCCTTTAATCCTTTCATGCAGCAACTGTTGCTGAGTCCAGCACACACCAAGTCCGGGGCCAAGTGGTAAAAATGCAAAGGGAACTCATGGAGGTGCCTGACTTAAAGGGACAGATGGGTTTAGGAGGCAGACTGGACTGCAGATGTTATGTGAGGTAGGTTAGGTACAGAGCAGGCTGCTTGAAGTGTGTGCGGTCTCTGAAGGACTGAGACATGAGGTGAACCTTCAAACAGTTAAAAATAATAGTTTAGCATGACCTGAAAGCTCAAAGATAAGTGTCTTTATTATGCAAATAATGATGTAAAGGAGATTGTCTTGTTTTATCCTTTCAGAAAATAGAACAAAACGAAAATGTGTGAAATTGCAGAAAAAAGGAAATGGTTTCTTAGTGTGGTTTATTTTTATATGCAGTTGCATAATCGTACATTATCTTTTCTTTCAGATACACTGGCCCAGTACAACACAAAAAATAGAAGAATGCATAATGAAAGGAAAAGATGCAGTAAGTATTATTCATTACAAATTAAGTAATTCATCAATTATATCTCTCATCAATCACAAAAGACTGAATTCCTAACTTTTTATTTGCTTTAAAAATTATATATGCTATTTATTCTCAAGAATATATATACAAACATATATACATATATTATATACAATGTATGTATATACAATATTTAAAAATTAATTTCAGCCGAAACCGGTTTGGCTCAGTGGATAGAGCGTGGGCCTGCGGACTGAAAGGTCCCAGGTTCGATTCCGGTCAAGGGCATGTACCTGGGTTTCGGGCACATCCCCAGTGGGAGATGTGCAGGAGGCAGCTGATCGATGTTTCTCAACTCATCGATGTTTCTAACTCTCTATCTCTCTCCCTTCCTCTCTGTAAAAAATCAATAAAATATATTAAAAAAAAAAGACTTTAAAAAAAATTAATTTCAATGTAGAATTAGATTAAAAGGACTTGAGATGCCATCCCTAACTTCGTTTTTATTTTGTTTTATTATATTCATCAACTCACATTTATAAATTCCTTATGCTAATGTTTATTTCCTATGTATTTGGGGGAAAACAATTGTAGGTAGTGGTTTTTTTTGTTTTTGTTTGTTTTTATTTTTATTTATTTATTTTTTTATTATTAGTTAAGGTATTACAAATGTGTCCTCATCCCCCCCATTAACCCCCGCCCCACACACTCATGATCCCATCCCCCTGTTGTCCATGTCCATTGGTTTGGCTTATATACATGTATACAAGACCTTCGGTTGATCTCTTGTAGGTAGTGTTTTAATTTGAGGAAAAACTAAGCACACTCTGGGAGATTTCATTTCCCTTTGTTTAGTAAATTAGAAACATGCAGAAACAAAAGGAGAAAGAAAAACTAGTTTGAAGAAAGAAGGCAAAAGCAGTAAATATGCCTCACATATTTCACATAATGTTGAAGGGTCTCTCCTGCTTACAGGTTCAGCATTCCACTTCCCCACAGCTTCTCTGCAGTGCGTGAGTGAGAACGCGTGAGAGCAGCACCCTCCCTGTCAGAGTTGCGAGCACACTAACACATGAGTGAAGGAGTGACCTTCACCTGCTCAGCGTAGCTGGCCAATGACACCATGCACATCTTTGGAGAAAGGCATGCACATCTCCTTTTGAAAGTTAGCTTATCCTGTTTTTCAGGAAGAAAGCAAAAGACTCACACACACATTATGCCAACTCAATTCTCTGTAGTAACTGGGTCCCAGCCAAGGAATGAGTCAAGACATTCTTGCTGCCTTGGTCCTCAGTGTGATGCTGACGAATTGAACACACTCTAAGGCTATGTCAATCTAAGCCCTGCTGAGCCAAAATGTGGGCTAATTGGCTCAATCAAGATGTGTTGGTGTTTCAACAGATGAAAAGCAGGCACTTATAGCAATACTAGAGGCCCGGTGCATGAATTCGGGCATGGGTGGGGTCCCTAGGCCTGGCTGGCGATCAGGGCCTATCAGGGCTGTCTCACCCAGTCCTGATTGGGGCCAGGCCAATTGGGGCCAGGCGGATTGGGGCCTGCCAGCCTGGGGGAAGGACCACAGGAGGATGGCCGGTGGTGGGGAGGGACCAGGGGAGGTTGGCTGGCCATGGGAGGTTGGCTGTGGGAGCACACTGACTACCAGGGTTTTAATGTTTTAATCTGAGTTGAGCATCTGCCCCCTGGTGGCCAGTGCACATCATAGGGACTGGTCAACTGGTCATTCTGGTCCCTCAGCCGTAACAGTCAATTAGGCTTTTATATATATAGATGAGACTAGAATATTTTCTCCACGCCTGGGGGAAAATACATTATTCCACTCTATGGGTTACCCATAGAATAAAATGCTACATGAGTGGGAAATTGAAGAAATAAATATGTGCCTGGGTAGTCAGTTCAGTAATGCCATAACCTGAATCATTTATGATGAGATGGTTCTGCTGGTTTTTCATCCTAACAGTATTTTATCAGAGCCTTTAAAGCCACAGTCTGTCCTCATTAAATATTCTCTCTACTGATTATTGCATTATTGTATGTATCAATGTCAAAATAATATTTACCATTTAAAGGTTTAATATTTCTCTAATAATTTGTTTTAAATGAAGTAATAATACCTAATTTGCCAACAAGGTATTTTCTAGAATTAATTTAGCCAAATTGGTTTGAAGCAATTTTAAATATTTTTCCATTCAGCTTACTGATCATAAAACTCTCCTAGTGATTGTGTATTAAAACTTTGTTAAGTGTAATATGTATTCGATACTGTGTTTGATTAACTGGGGAATACAAAGATGTCTAAAATAAACATTCTGTTCTCAAAAAGCTTCCAGTTGATTACCAGTGAGGCAAACGAGTTTTTGGGCCAAATGTGGCCTGCCATAAATAAAGTTTTATTAGAACATAGGCATCCACACTCATTTGTGTATTGTCTATGGTTGCTTTCATGCTGTAACTGCAGAGATAAGTAGTTGCAACCACAATGCAAGTAGTAGAGATCAGATCCCCATTGAACTAAATATGTCCACTGTATGATCCTTTATAGAAAAAGTTTTCTGATCCCTCAACTATGCTCTTATTGTAATCGCTATAAAATGTTATTTTTATTGGCTAGTTTTCTATCTATTTACTTGGAAATTCTCTATTAAAGTGCCTTATGTAAATTAATGTTTGAAGATATGATTTATTTCCCCAAATTAAAACTCTGTAAATGCTCTAAAGTCTGTATGAGTAAAGACACTTTTTCTAATTATTGGTTTTCTGACTTTATGCTGATTCATTGTTTATATGTACTTTTAGACTAACTTAATTACTTAATGGAACATATTCAAACTTCATGCTTGAATACATTTCCGAACAGTGCTTTTTTAAAATATCTCAGTGAGTACTAGAATTCGTGAAAATAATTCACTCCCATGACTAAATGGAAGTCCTACATCGCTGCTAACAAAAATGCGCATCCTTCACCCAGGTCTCTTCTTCCTCTGCTCCTTGTCCTTTTTTCATCTGCACCTTTTGCCTCCTCTAGCCAGGGAAGACTTAAATTCCTGGGATTAGGAAACACAAAAATAAAAAAGGGGTAAACATTTTTATTCCACTAGCCACTTCTTCTTTTTTTCTGCTCTAGAGTGAATGTGCAAATTATGTTCGGGTTTTGCATCACTACAACAGGACACACCTCCTGACCTGTGGCACCGGAGCTTTCGACCCACTTTGTGCCTTCATCAGAGTTGGGTACCATATGGAGGTAAGATGATTTCATTTACTGTTGTCAATAAAAATAATGATGAGAACTATTTGTTTTCAATGAAAAGTTGTGTGATTTCCTTTGATGAAAGAGAAAGGCATTTAGGAAATACTGATTCTGTTTGCTTGAGTCAGAGAAATAATCGCTAGGGCCTTTAAAATTGTTTGTCAGCTGTAAAATTTGTGAGCCAGTTAATTCTTAATGTATTCACTCACTGAACAATTTCATTTCCTTAATTTTTCCACTTAAAAGTATTTCTTAATATGAAACTATGTTCTCTATTGTGTTCTTATATAATTTTTATTAATGTAACCACCAAACTGGAATGAACATATATATAGATTTATATATGCATGTACATATAAATAAATTTATAAGAGTACAATTACTACACATAGTATTTTATAAAGGACATGCAAGTACTTGTTGATTCTGTAATTGTTCCTTCATCAAGTGAAGTAGGGAGGTGGAATTGGAGGTAGGGAGAGATTGCAAACTGATAAATTAAGAATGAGTGGGTAAGAGCTATATGTCTCGTTTCCCACACCTCATCACTAGGCTTGTTAGTAAACAAAAATAGGTTGAAATATAACCTATCTTAACAAACTGGGTAAGCTCTCAAGTTGCATTTATTCTAGGCACAATTTCAAACACCTTACATCACAGTTCCACTCTGAAGCATATTAAACAATATTCCGATGTCAGGATCTGCTTTGTCCTTTCATTTAGGACAAAAGGCAGAATCCCGCATTAGGATGTGACACAGATAAAGCAGAGCTCTACATACTCTGTAGCTGAGCAGCTGGACGCTCTTGATTCTCATATCCCCATTATGAGAGGGCAGCTCTGACTGTAAATATGGGGTATCTCCAAAAATGTATACACACACTTTGAATAAGTATAAAGGCAGTGTTCATTAAAATACATTTGATTTTAACAATTGAGCTATCAGCTGTTAAAGTATATATACATTTTTGGGACACCCTGTATTTTCAGCCAGCGCATATAAAGCACAACATTCATTTCTCTAGAGAAAAATTATTTCTGATATTTCCTTTAGTAGTGAACACTCAGGTGCACATATAATTAACAATATCTGAAGTGCTTGCTCTAAGCTGCCTCTGGAGAGTGCCCTGATTGAGGTACTTCATCTGTTAAGTGTCCTTGTAGGCCGGTTTTTGATTAGCATATTTTAAATGTTAACTAACCCCCCGCTAGTGATAGATTAAAGTTAAGTAGCATGCACAAACACATCACAGTGCATTTACTAAATTATTTTAAAGAGACAGTGCAGATGATATAATAGGAAACTTTAGCTGAAGATATAGAAGGAAAGTGGGTCCAGTGCAGTCAGAATATTTACACATAAATAAATATACAAAGAATGCATATGCATGTACATATATATACATGAGTATACACATGGATATACATATACATACATATGTGTATACAAACACATATAATACATATATACAAATTCAACATGTATACATCATAATGCAGATCTATTGGAAAAAAATTCTCTCAGTTTTCATTTATCTGAAAAAGCCTTTATTTTATCTTTATCTTTGAAGGAAATTTTCTCTGAATATAGAATTCTGGGGTAACATTTTTTTTTCTTTCAGCATCTAAAAATGTTTATTGTCCTCTAATCTCTTCCTGGTGTAAATTCAGGTTTCATAAATATCCCCCCTGAAGAGGAGAAAGAGGAAATGAGGCAGAAATATTACTTAAAATAATGACACACTAGAGGCTCGATGCATGAAATTTGTGCAAGAGTAGGCCTTCCTTCCCCCGGCTGCTGGCACCGGCTTCCCTCTGGCACCCAGACCTGGCTTTGTCCAGAAGGTCATCCAAAAGGACATCTGGTCTAATTAGCATGCTATGCTTTTACATATATATATATATATATATATATATATATATATATATATCATTGTTCCACAGATCACCAAGATTCTGTCCATTTTTATTCAATCTTTTTTCCCCTCTATTTTTCAAATTGGATAAATTCTATTGATTTAATTGCAGGTCTATTAATCCTTTCTTCTGACATCTCTAATATGCTCTTAAGCCCACCTCATTAATGGTTCATATAGATATTGTATTTTTCAGATCTAGAATCTTCACTTTCTCTATTTCTTTATTTATATACTAAGTGTTCCCCCAGTTTTTATTCATAATGACTATATTTACCTTTAACCGACTGACCATATATTTTTAACAACTGTTTTAAAATCTTGGTGTGCTAATTTAAACTGTGGGTCAACCTAGAGTAAGTTTGCATTGACTGCTTTTTCTCTTGACTCTGAATCATATTTTCTTGTTTCTTTGCATGTCTATTAATTATTATTGTGAACTGGACATCATAGGTCATATGTTTTCATTCTGGGTCTTGGATTCTGTTATCTTTTGAAGAAAGTTGATTTTTATTCTAGCAGGCAGTTTACTCAGCTGGACTCAAACCTCTTTTAAGATGATCAGCAGCCACAAATCTTTCAGTTTTCCAGCCACTGCTTTTCATGGTCTGCTTGCACATGCAGTTCATGTGTCAGCCAAGGATTTGGGGGAGAATCTACACACAGATTTCAGAGTTCCTCACTCAGTTTCCAGTTATATCTTCTCGCTTTTCATCTGATCTGGTACTTTACATGTCTTTTCTATGGCTTTCCAATCTAAAAAGTCTCTAGTTTTCTGCTTGATTCTAGCGCCAGTGATGGCGAACCTATGACACGCGTGTCAGAGGTGACACGCAAACTCATTTTTTTTGGTTGATTTTTCTTTGTTAAATGGCATTTAAATATATAAAATAAATATCAAAAATATAAGTCTTTGTTTTACTATGGTTGCAAATATCAAAAAATTTCTATATGTGACATGGCACCAGAGGTAAGTTAGGGTTTTTCAAAATGCTGACACGCCGAGCTCAAAAGGTTCGCCATCACTGTAGCCTTTCTCATAACATGAACTGTGGGTTACCTTAAATTGAAAACTGTTCAGCCTTGGACAGTGTTGCTCAGTGGTTGGAGCCTCAGCCTGAAAGGTCTTAGGTTTTATTCCAGTCAAGGCCATGTACCTGGGTTACAGGTTGATCCCCTGGCCTGGTTGGGGCATGAGTGGGGGGCAAACAATTGATGTATCTCTCTCACAATGATATTTCTCACTCTCTCTCTCTCTCTCCCACTCCCTCCCCCCTTTCTACTCTCTCTAAAACTGAAAACCAAACAAACATACCCTCTGGTGAGGATTAACAAAAATAAAATAAAAACAATCCAGTCTTTGTCTCTCTTAACTAATCTCCAGTGCCTTCCAATAATGTTTTTATATGTTTTTACTTAGCTCATCATCATCTGTGGGAGAGTTAGTTCATTACAAGCTGCATTGCCATTAACAGAAGTGGGACTCCGTGTAATTCATCTTCATATGTGTGATATTGACTATTTTCTCATATAATTATATAGGTATTAAATATGATTGAAAACACATTTTGGAAAAAAATCTGTATATGACGTAAGAGGAACTTGTGGCCATCTGATAATGAGAGATTTATTCCCCGCACTCCATTTTTATCAAGAGAATGAGAAATTACAAACAATTAGAGGCAAGGCAAATAGTTTGATCAAAAAGTTAGAGGCAGGCACGAATGGGATAGGTTTGCAGATATTAGTCTAGTTGGTTCAGAAACAGCAGGTTACAGAGCTAGGACAAATTGGGGAGGATTTTAATGTTAGACAGTGACATTCTGTAGTTATTTTAAAGACAACATGAGGACCACGAAGGAGCTTGAACAGTGTTTGATTGGCATGGCATTAGCAATATTTTGGATTGATTCAAGCAGAGAGAGATGAAAGACAGAGAGAAATTAGAGGATTGCACGCGGATATTTAATAGCGTTGTCACAAAAGGACAGGAAGTGTGGAGCTGATGTGAGAAGCTGCCCAGCAGGGGAGTTTATGTAACTAACATTTTATTGGATGTCACTGATGAAAGGGAATTGAAAACCAATTCCATTTTACTTCTAGGAAAACAAAGTATTTAACAGCAAGAGGGAGCTAAGGAGACAGAGGAGGCTTTTGTGAGAACATCAAAAATGTTAGGTATTTCTCAGTTGTAACTCTTCAATTTCCATGTGCAATTGTTTTAAAAAAATGATCCTGGAGCTGAGAGAAGATGTTATCAGAATAGATTAAATCTCCCAATAGATTGAATTATTGAACCCTCGGGAGTTAATGGTCCCTGAAGGATTTTCTCTCTCCCTCTCTCTCTCCCTCTCCCTCTCCCTCTCCCTCTCCCTCTCCCTCTCTCTCTCCCTCTCCCTCTCCCTCTCCCTCTCCCTCTGTCTTATTTTTTTTCTCACTTGCTTTCTCTGTCTGTCTCTCCCTCTCACACTTTATCAAAGGAACTTGGAAAATGCCATTATTTCGTTGACAGTAGAATGGGAATATCAGTGTAAACAGACTGAGCAGACAGAGTAGTATAAGGCAAATCAGGTTAGTGCAAATTCAGAATCACACTTGTAAAAGGAAAAAAAAAACATTTAAAAATGATAGGCAACATCATTAATGCTACAGAGAGGGCAGTTTTAGTAAAGTCGTGAGTAATTAGAATGTAGAAGATTAAGAAATCACTGAAAATGCCCAAATAAAGGCAGTAATATTACCTATTTAATCCAGAAAGAGACTTGTTAAGGAACAGAAATATAGGGGAGGATATAAAAATGTTGGAGTGTTGAAAGAAGGTTTTCTTAGCACAGTGGATATAGAAACTACGTGTATTTGTCAAGTAAGAGGATATGACCACCTAGCTTCTTGGAGTTAGGGTATCTCTGATACCTTCGTCTTTTATCTGAATGTTGCTTTTTCTTTGACCTTCTTTACCCTTTTCTTGAAAAAGTTTTGCAGTTTTTTCTTGAAAGTGGGGTGGGCAGGTTCATTTTGAGGATTCATCTCTCCCCCAGACCCCTGCAATCACCCACAGGTTAAAGAAGCACAAATCTC